CTTTTTTTTTTTTTTTCCCCCTTTCCCGACACAGAGCAGCTGAGCCGACCGCGGCGGCGAGGCAGGCAGCGGAGGGGCTGGCAACGCCGTCCGTGAGCTGCATCACACGGAGGGCTGGAGCCGACCGCTGGCTGCGTGGCTCTGCCCAGCTGGCCAGTGGGGCTATCTGGAGACAAAGATGCTGCTCTGCAGCAAACCTGCACTCTATATACAGATGGATTTGATATCTATGTCTATCTACAGATAGATATCTATATACGTACCTCCTGCATAGATGTCTAGCCCTACTATAGATATCTATCTATAGAGATATCATACAGATGTCTGTATAGATCTACCTCTATAATAGACATCTAATACAATAGGGCCATCTCTAATATATATATCTGTAATAGGTATCTGATAGATCTACTCTATTAGATAATCTATTACAGATATTATAATTCTATGTCTATTCTATATTCTACTCTATATTCCATTCTATCTCTCTATGTATCTCCCTAAAGTTAGATATCTATAAATATCTTTATAGCTAGACACCTATAAAGATAGCTGTATCTATAGACAGACACATAGATATTTTAAAAAATACTTAAATACACCCCCTCCACTCCAGTACAGGGAGGAGCCCCTGCCTGTCTTGCTGCTGTCTCCCCGTCCACCGGTAACACCCACAGCCACCCTGCACAGGGATGCTGCCGCTTTCCTCCAGCTCAAGGCTCGAGCTGCCGCACGGCTTCGGTGCCACCTCTAGGCATATTCATCAGCGCCGTCCCACTTGCCTCAGGGAAGGAAAATCGCACCCAACCTGAAATAACCTGCCAGCTCCAGACTCCGGCGTGTCCCACGCCGGGCGCAGCCGCTCGCACTGCCCACGTAAGCTGGGGACGCATGTGTTACTCTGCGCGTACGCCTGTCCTCGCTGAGCCCAACGCGAACGCAGGGCTGCTTTGTAGGTTTTTTTGAACTCTGTACTAGGAATTGCAGAGGATACGCCACCAGGACGTGGTGACTGCAGCAGTAAGGGTTAGGCAGGGGATTTCTTGGTTTCGCCAGCGCTCCCTGACCTCCTCCGATGAGCGCCGTTGGCGATGGTCACTGCTCCCGTGTGGTCAGGAGCACGGATCCTTTGACTAAACGGGTTGAATACACGTTACCTCGAGCTTCCAATCACAGCATGTATCACTCTGGGTTTGGGGTGGGTTTTAATACTGGTTTTTCAGTTAAAATAGCACGCTGCTGAATAAAGCACAGAGTGCTTGTGTAGGCTGGGTTTGGCTGGCAGGAGGCGAGGCCCTGAATGCTACAGCTATTTCTTAACTAAAAACCACCCGACTGGTCTTTATTGCCAATCCGGCAGGCGAACAAAGCCAAACCCCTCCAAGGAAGGGGACAAAAGCCTTTTTCCCAGAGAGGGAGCAGCACACCACCATCGTTCCAGGGCACCATGCGCCCAGCAGCCCATTTGCACACAAAAAAGCCTATTTAACCCCAGGAGCTAGGAACTGAGCCCCCCAGGCACAGCTTTCTTTGGAAGCCAGGCCTGATGATCTTCTGGATATCTAAAGGACCTCTGCACCCTGCCGCAGCCAGGCTCTTTGGGCTGAGGCTGTGAGCGGGATGCAATACATACATTTATGGAGGCCAGGAGTGAAGAGCTTCCCTCCAGCTCAGCAGCGTTTTTGTCAGGTCACATTATAAGCAAGTCATTTGTCACGGTCACATCCCGAGCACCTCCAGCTAAAGGCCAGCATCTCAGCAGCGCGGGGCTGCATCCTCAGCAGCACAGCCCCGCTTCAGCAGAGCTGGCAACCGTCTGGAGAGGACCTGGCACTGCGGCGGGCGAAGCCTCCAGCAATGCACCCATCTCCCCTCCACCTCTGCTCACGCCAGTGCCGAGCAGTGCCAGGATGACAGGGACCCTGTCTGAGCAGGGATTGAGATCAGCGAGATGCAGCTGAAAACCGTGTGTGAGAAGCACACGTAGAAAGGAAAAAAAAGAAAAGGGAGAGATTCAAAGACCTCTCTTTATTTGCCTCCTTTTCTCCCTGTTTTCTGCCCTCCCTCTCGCACTGCGAATGCACACTTCCCATGTTTCTCCAAGCCTGAAACTACTGTGTGTATTTACACTATCCAGATCTATTATTCATGCAAGGCAAGAGCACCAATTAATTAGGACTGCATTTATATAACTCTGCAGGTAAAGCTATATGTAGCTGCTTGTAAGTCAGAATGGGATCTTCTTTGCCCTGCACTAGAAATGACAGGTTTTAAAATATTGATGAGGGAAGACATACGAAGGCGAAACCTCTGGTGGGAAGGCCCTTGGAGGCCTGGCATGAAACAAGGACTTCAAAGGAGCAAGCTCACTTTGCTAGATCAGGCGCATTCAGGATTACGAGCGACTGGCGAGCCGGAGCTGCCCCGTGACCCTGGCGAGCTTGGAGGGACACTGACACTCTCAAGGTGAGGCTCCTGGAAACCTTGGGT